TTATATATAAAAATTTTACAAAATTACAAGCAAAGTCTTCTTTCTAGCTGGAACTTTCTTGATATCTTATCGAGGGTTCATGATGAGCGAGTTAATTAAGAGTTGATGTAGGTACAATTCTCTTAACGGGAAGCTAGCTAGCTCTGTCCTTCGTTATTCACCAGCCACACACGGCGAGTTTTCCACTGTTGAAGTTAGGTAATGTTTTCGTAAAAGTACTAATGTCCGATGAGAATCCACTGAAGTTAAATTACTTGTAAAGTTTGAACTTTGTAAATGCTCCTGGTCAAATATCTGAAGTTTTCCAATTGATAAGCGCTATAACAAATAATCACAGTTATAGCTTCCGAAGTTTATAGCACACTGACTATAGCAAACTAATAATAGATACTCTCTTTTTTTGGCACGTCGCGTTGGTTATATTTATAGGTGTGTGGAGGCTTTCGAGAAATTTCAGTTTTACGTAATAATACTGACGCTAACACAAGCGTTTACGTACACACATATATTGTTGATTCTTACTCTCAAGAATCTTCTACAACTTTGGAGAATAGGCAGGAGTTTCACAATACATATCTAACACGATAAGCGCTATGCAAGTTTTTAAATATAAATGTAATCTAAACAAACGTCGATAATAAAATAACTATAGAATAACAAATTCGTTACAAACTACACAGTTAAGAAATAGCATCAGCCATATATGAAAGTCTTTAAGTACATAATTATTGTATGTGTGTAAGTATAATTGAAAAAACAGTTATTCAGACTTTATAACATACTAGCATAAAATACTGCGCTTTAATTTCAAACATGGTGTTCCTAGGATCCTGAGGAGAACGAACCCACAATATGATGTCATATTTTGGTTCAGCGATTCTGAAAACCTACTCCTAGAACCCCATCATGCCTGGGTGAGCTTGTGGACACAATTTAGCCCCTTTGATACCCGAAATAAACACGGGTTGGAGGGATATGCTATGTAGCTAAAAACACCCTTCAGGCCACCCCGAGTTCGCCTGTCAAATTTGGTTCTGCTACCTCCAGAATTGTGTGAGGTGTTCGAGGAAAAATAAATTCTCAAACACAACGTGAATTAACATAGGATTCTTAAATATTCAGAAGTAAACTTACCCCACGTGTACAATATACTTTACCAACCCCCTAGGGTTTACATCTATTCATACAAGTTCACGATTACGGTTATTAGGCACGTATTAGTATATATGTCACCAAAGTATCTTCAAGTTTCTTGTTGGATAATCAATCTGACGCTAATTATACACATTACAGGATTTTTACATATATGTAAATATATGTTTATACCTGAAGATATGTCCAAACCTCTGTTACTTAGCAACTATTACATCGTCTTTGACTAATGTTTACACACACACACATATATATATATATTTAACAAGCTGAATCTTCCGTCATATGGCGGAAGATAATTATTAATTTTTTTACTCAAAATTATATCTAAATAAATGTTTTGTGAACATATCTTCTAAAAATTAATTATAATATAGTAACAATATATGTAAAGAGAATGCCTATCGTATAATGACTAATATGTTTTTAGTATTTCACGAAAACAATATTATTTATGTATATTTGACCATCTCCTTTAAATATTTTGATTTCCGTATATTTTTAAGTTGTGTTCAAATTTTCTTCTTGATAAATCCTTATAGATTGAAACATGTGAAAAAAATGATTCTAAAAGATATATTCCTACTCGGTCGACTATGCGATTCTACAAATTATTAATTGTGATGGTAAAAGGCAGTGAATTTTATTATGAATTTCGGAGTCTTCTCTTTGGACTGTCTTCCCGGTTTTGGCTTTGTTGGCATGTTGAACTGAAGAAGCGCGCTTTACTTTGGGCATTTTCAAAATTGAAATGTGCTGCAGGTAAAACATGCGGAGCATAATAGAGTTGTATCCGAGGGAGGGTTCCGATTGGACACAATTTGGTGATCCAAGCCAACGTAATGGGGAATTTCAGCCAATCGTTATGATTTTTGTATGCCAGTAATACCAAGCATGGGGCGCGCGTATACCCGATTCGATTTTATTTCTCATCACGATATCTATCAATCAACCCTCAAATCTAATTATATGCCCAAAGTGGCGCGTCGTTCATTATATATATGGCTATTTGGGCGCGTCGTCCATTATATATATGGCTAGAAGAATTTTAAGACGACAAACATGTTTGTCGCGACAGAAATCGCCGTCGTTTTGCGTAAGTTGAGTATCGATAAATACCGCAACGATCGAGGTATCGGCGTGACAGACGGCTTTTCGTCTTTATATAGCAGATGTATTTGTTATAGCGCCATCTCGTAGTAATTATAGTAGCTCGGAGGTAGAAAGGCTTTTTCTATTTAACTAATTATAGCCGTTACTAAATAATATTATGCATTGCTAATGTTCATCAAGCCATTTTTGTTTCAAAGAGGTTTTCACCATAAAAACGTAATAATACTAAACACCTAACAAAAGGGAACCTGGGTCATATATTAATGAATGTGTAAGAGTTATTAGGCTGAAAACAGGAGATGCGACACTATGTAAAAGTAACCCAAAATAAATTTTCAGATTAACATGACTTACAATCATGCTAGACGTAATATAAGCGGTCAGTACAATGACCAAACTAGCGATGACAGCCCTTGGAATTGATCGTTGCGGGTTTTCGGCTTCCTCCCCAGTGGTTGCTATGATGTCGAATCCGATGAAGGCGTAGAAGCAAGTAGCTGCACCCGACAAAACCTGTAAAGTTAATTAACTGGTTTGTATGTTGCATACTTTCAAAGATTAATCAACAGGTTGAACAGTATCTACTGTAGTTCAGATTGAGTCTTGTTTACAATATGACTTTCAAGATGTCGTTGTGGATGATAGTTCATCTTAAATCAACGGATTGAACAGTATCTACTGTAGTTCAGATTGAGTCTTGTTTACAATATGACTTTCAAGATGTTGTTGTGGATGATAGTTCATCTTAAATCAACGGATTGAACTGTATCTACTGTAGTTCAGATTGAGTCTTGTTTACAATATGACTTTCAATGTGTTGTTGTGGATGATAGTTCACATTAATATCTTCATCTTAAATCAACGGATTGAACTGTATCTACTGTAGTTCAGATTGAGTCTTGTTTACAATATGACTATAAAGATGTAGTTGTGGGTGATAGTTCACATTAATATCTTCATCTTAAATGAACGGATTGAACTGTATCTACTGTAGTTCAGATTGAGTCTTGTTTACAATATGACTATAAAGATGTAGTTGTGGATGATGTGGATGATAGCTCACATTAATATCTTCATCTTGAATGTTTCAGAAAATAATTTCAAAGCAGTTTTTAAAACTTAATTTATATTTCTAATTTGAAATACTTGTTTCTATCTCTTTTCATTCATACTCAAAATAAGCATTCTTAGTTTGGAGAAAACATTGATTCTTAGCAATACCGACTTGCTTGTTCTGACACACACACACACACATAGAAACTCGTTCAAGTTCAACACATTCCAGCATGTGTTTGGTTGTTCTCGAGTGTTTGTTAGTTTCAGAATTTCACGCAAAGCTACAAACGGACCATCTACACATCTGACTTACTCTTGTTTGGTCGAATAGTGGAGCAAAAGTGTATTATAAGAGTGACAACAAAATCTCACTATTCAATTAGAGAAGCCCAAGAGTTGGCGGTAGGTACTTTTGATTAGTCGTGATCCCTCTAGTCCATCATTTTAAAATTAGGGACGGCTAGCGCAGACAGCCTTTGTGTAACTTTGCACGAATATCTGAAACTAACAAATAAACGAACATCTACTCACGCTACAAAATTATTAGCTACCACAGCGAAATCGTACACTGTTAATATGAGATATCTTCTGATGCATTCCTCTTGTCATTAGAAGCCTACACATTACTTCGCACAGCAGGGATAACTAAGCTCACCAGTCACAGACAACAAAACGTCCTCATCTTTAAAACAGCTTTCAAAACTCATCTAACTTGGGACTACAGTAAGTCTACGGATTTACAACGCTAAGATCTGAGTTTCGATTTCACGCGGTGGACACAGCAGATAGCCCAATGCGGGTTTGCTCTAAAACAAACAAGCAAACAAACGATCATCTAACCAGTATTGTTTAAAACCAAATAAAAAATAATAACTATAATCTCTTTAATGGCAACTTTGTTTGTGGATACAAATTAGACGTATTTTGAAGATAAGTTTTCCATTATGAATGTTACTCACAAAGTAGCTTTCATTTAATTATATGTTCGTTTTAATAGTTTTGTTTCTGTTGCTATTAAAATAAAAAAATGAACTATGCTTTATAAGATGGAAAAATTAAAAAGTATTTAAAGCATAATAATTTAATATAAATGTTATTAATAAGAAAGTTCATGAATCCATGAACAAAGCAGACTTTAATTTGTAATATATAATTAAATATGAAGTTCTTAAAAGCAAGCATTCGTTTGTCGCTTATAGCTATCAACTCGAATAACATAACACAAGTCAAGAAGAATAAAAACAAAATTTACAAAAATTCAGATAAAAATCGGCCTACATAATAGACATAAAAAAGTAAATATATAAAAATGAAAACTATAAACGACATTGTTAGTTATTAGAAATAACAACGACTATAAGATGTAATTTATGTCAACACATATTTAAACAAACTTACCCCTGACCAGCCATATGGCAAGAAGCCTCCATGACTAGTCCAGTTGTTTATGTCAACGTAGAAAAGCCCAGCCCCCATCACAAAAATCCACACTGACAAGTTCAGTGTATTGAGTATATTGTTAAAGAGAAGGGATTTTTTAACTCCCGCTACTAGAAGCACTGTCATGAGAACAGTTACAAACGCTGCAAGAATATCTGGGGTATGACCTGAGGGAAGAAAACGAATAAACAATTATTTGATAAAATAAAGTGTAATTATATATATATATATATATAGAGAGAGAGAGAGAGAGAGAGTTTGCGACAGTTTTAAATATTATTATTTTCCGATAGCTTTTGTCGCATGCCCCCCATGGCACAACGGTATGTCTGCGGATTTATAACGCTAGAAACTGGGTTTCGATACCCGTGGTGGGCAGAGCACAGATAGCCCATTGCTTTATGCTTAATTACAAACAAACGAAGCTTTTGTCACCAGGATTCACAATAATAGAATACAATAGCTTGATCTCAAATACTACCTCTCATAGAGCTCTTAAAATGCATATAATCACAAACGGACTAAAGCTTATATTTTGTTCGTGACATATTGGACTATATGCATCATTCCAATCACATTTCATAGAATAGGCTGAATATTCTTTCCTTACCTATAATTGTTCCCAAACTGTTTCTGATGACGTCATTGATAGCACCACCACACATGGCATCTACACATGCACTGATTGCGCATGCTCCGGCAGCAGTTCCAATGAGATATTCTAATATCATGTTCCAGCCAATAACAAAAGCTATGAATTCTCCTACAGTAACATAACTGTACATGTATGCTGAACCAGTAGTATGAGGGACTCGAACACCGAACTCAGCATAACATACACCTAAGAAATGAAACAATTTGCTGTGATTTATCATTTTTATGTTATCTTTTACTAATAACTGTAAAGGCATGAAACTCTGAATGAAAATTTATTTACAATAGGGACACAGTAAAGTAAATCATCCAATATTGATATAATAAATCTTTGTTCTCTAAAATATAGACCGTTCTAAATATTTCAGTTTCAAAACTACATTTCGTGAGTAGTTGTTTTTCGAACTTTGTTAGATTAGCGTCAGTTATTTTCAAACAAACGTACTCAAACCATAAAGAACTAGTTTATGATGTTCAATCTCTGATTTTTCTACTGTCGTTTCTTGTCTAATGAGGTAAGGGATTTAAGGAGTGATTGGTTGAAGCCAAGGAATCGTCGATTTGACAGGAAGACTTTATCTTCAGTCAAGAATTCTAGCAGACGAATAAAAAAAAACTTGTTTGATCGATATCAGTACGTGCTTTCTAGCTTCATAGAAACGTTTGAGATGGTTTATTTAGCTTCTTGTAGAGTACTTGATGTAACTACAAGTAAATGAGGTCTATCTATAATAGTCTTAAAACATGTAACATCATGTACATTTCAACTATCGTTTTTATATATTGTACAGGTTGAGAGTCAAACAAAAACACAATGAAATAATTAAAAGCGAAACAAAGGAAAAAGAGAAGAATTTTAAGATTGTACACGAATGTATCATAAACATAACACACGCACATATATATATTTACAAAACAAACTTGTTGAGAGAATTGTTCTCTTCTTGAAAAGATAAAGAACAAGGAAGTGAAATTTAATAAAATGAACGTAAAGAGGGAAGTAATACATGAGAAAAATAGGTGGTTCAAAATGATTTGATTGTTGTTAAGTGGAATGCTGCACATTTAGCTGTCTGTGCTGTGTCCATCAAAGAGATTCGATCCCTAAACTTGATCGTTAGAAGTCCTTTAGCTTTATGCTGAATCACTCAGGACAGCGGTTCACCATTGAATTCAACATATTTAGCTAAAAAATGTTGTCTCAGGCAACTGCTCTTATCAAGCTTTACGCTTAATATGGTTTGTCGAAGTATTTATCAATTGCATAACATGTGAAATCATTTCCTTTTTTATTTTTATGTTTAAGGATTTTGCTGTACAGGTTAGATGGTGCAAGTTCCGCCAATAAACACATTTATAAAGTACTTTTAATCCACAGAGTTTACAGCTTTGTATAGTCGCACCATATAGCCAATAGTAAAGTACCTTTTCTGTCATGGCCAAGGTGTCAGTGCTATGAATGTTTATTTAATTCATTTGTTGAAACGATCTATACATATAAATACAGTCTTTTAGGTGTCGCATTCTGACTCCATGAACGAGAATGAGAAAATATTGATTCTAAATTAATTTTAAATTTCTTGAAGTTTTTCGAAGGTTTCAGAACTGTTGCAGCTGCCACTAAAATAGTTTTTATTTATTACTAATAAAAACCTCTGTATGTCCCCCTCTCCTTGGTGATTTTACTAAGTGGTTTGTTTAAGTGCAACGTTTGACCAGTGTCTAAGGTATGCTTTAAAAGTAGAGTAATTAAAAAACGTTAACTAATATATATATTTAATTCGATGGTCAGATCAGAACTATAATTTCGATTTTTGTCAGCTAAAGAGCAGAAGTCGAAGTGAACTTATAAAACATAAACAGCTAGTAAACATTCGATGATGCTTTTCCATCTTACAATCAGGTTGTTAATGCCCTGATTAAAGAAATCACTTGGCTTTGAAGCAAAAAAAACATGTCGATATCCTCTTTAACATCTTCCATATTTGCATGCGTTTTCCCATCAAGATGGTGTTGCAGCGAACGAAAAAGATGGTAATCTGATGGTGCCATATCTGTAGAATATGGTGGGAGGGGGAAAATTTCCCAACCCAAGTCCATAATCTTGTGTTGTGTCAAACGTGCTACATGTGGACGTGCATTGTCGTGGAGAAGAAGAACACCTTTCCGATTGACGAGTGAAGGGCGTTTCTGATGAAGGGCTTGGTTTAAACGTTCCAGTTGCTGACTATAGATCTCTGCATTGACAGTTCGCTGTGGATTGACGAGTTCGAAATGAATTATTCCTTTGATGTTCCACCAAATGCAAAGCATCTCTTTCTGCGGATGGATTCCAGGTTTGGGGGTCGAAAGTAGTTTTTATCTAGGACTGAGCCATTGTATTTGGCGTTTAATATTCACATAGAGAATCTATTTTTCATCACCGGTGACAATTCTGTCCAAAAATAGTTTACATACATTACGCGCCAAAAGAGACGAAGCAACGTTCACACGTTGCAAACGATGATCATCGGAGGGTTC